TTGACATCTGCTGGGAGGGCATTCCAGAGGGCGGGCGCCACTACCGAGAAGGCCCTCTGCCTGGTTCCCTATAACCTCACTTCTCGCAGTGAGGGAACCGCCAGAAGGCCCTTGGCACTCGACCTCAGTGTCTGGGCTGAGCGATGGGGGTGGAGACGCTCCTTCAGGTATCCTGTGCCGAGGCCATTTAGGGCTTTAAAGGTCAGCACCAACACTTTGAATTGTGCTCAGAAACGTACTGAGAGCCAATGTAGGTCTTTCAAGACCGGTGTTATGTGGTCTTGGCGGCAACTCCCAGTCACCAGTCTAGCTGCCGCATTCTGGATTAATTGCAGTTTCCGAGTCACCTTCAAAGGTAGCCCCTAAAGCAGGCTGGAATGGGGGAGAGAGAGACCATTTGGATTTTGGGAATTATCTTTTATTTCTTAGATGCTGAGCCTGTGCTGGAGAACACAAGGCCTCGTATGGATGTATATTTGATGTTTTAATTCTAATGATGAAGAAAGTTCTGCTGGTAAAATTTAAACGACATTTTCATGGGTCTGGGCAATGCTTCATTTCGAAAAGGAGTCAGTTTTTATTCTTCCAGTCGCTTCAAACTGCACAATCCGAAACAGACCCAAGCCCGTTGGCTCCCTCGGTATGTGGGGAGTTTATTGGCTGGTGTCACCAGCGCAATCCCTGATCAGTGGGAGATGATGGCATTTCCATGAACGCTAAGGCAGGAAGGGCAGCACACAAACTGCCCTGCCTTTGCTGCTATCCAGCCCCATTTCATCATCCAAGTACCTGACAGTCCATGGACCCACCCTTCCCTAACACCTGCTCCCGTGCTGGGGACATGACTTCTCTTTTGGCACTGCCTTGCCATTTTTTTGAGTGGAGTCTTTCCCCATGCTGGGCTGAATATAGACAGCAGGGGAACCTTTCAAGGCTTGAGGGCACATTTGGGTTTATGAATGAGTGCTTGTGCCCCACCCCTTCTGGCCACTTCTCTCTCCTCCCACCGGATCAGGACCCGCTTCTCCCTGAGCCCAAGAGACAGAGAAATGGCTCGTACATGCCACTTTCCCAAGGATCTGGGTAAACATTGGGTCCAGAAGAATTAATCTGAGCCTTGAAAAACACATAGACCAGAAGCATTTTTACTGGGTATAGTAGGGGAAGGGGACGCAGGTGGCGCTGTGGGTTAAACCACAGAGCCTAGGACTTGCCGATCAGAAGGTCGGTGGTTCGAATCCCCGCAACGGGGTGAGCTCCCGTTGCTCGGTCCCTGCGCCTGCCAACCTAGCAGTTCGAAAGCACGTCAAAGTGCAAGTAGATAAATAGGTACCGCTCTGGCAGGAAGGTAAACGGCGTTTCTGTGCACTGCTCTGGTTCGCCAGAAGCGGCTTAGTCATGCTGGCCACATGACCCGGAAGCTGTACGCCGGCTCCCTTGGCCAATAAAGCGAGATGAGCGCCGCAACCCCAGGGTCGGCCACGACTGGACCTAATGATCAGGGGTCCCTTTACCTTTATAGCAGGGGAAGAGAATCCAAAGGGAGATAAAAAAACAACTGTTTTTGTATCCAACAACTGCAGCAAGAATTTCTTTAGCCTCAAAATGGAAGCAACAAGAAGTCCCAATGAAAGAAGAGTGACAGACGAAAACGATGGACTTTGAGGAACTGGCGAAGCTGACGGGAAACATCCAAAACCAGCGTAATCAAGCACTCCCAAAAGATTGGAGTAAATTTATACAATACTTGAAGGAGCCTTGTCAGCAATTAACAACACTAGCAGGGTTGTAAAAAAAGACTTGTAATGTTAAACCTTCTTTCCCAGTTTAGATTTATTGAAAAACTGTGACATTTTGAAGGAGTGAAACGTAAATTGGAAAATGTATAAATGCTTTGAGATAAAAGGTTAACTTTGAAAACCATGAGGCGGGAGGGAGGGAAGTAAGTCACAGGCTCTCAAGAGCTAAAGAAGTAAAATGGATAATGATGATGTGTCTAAATATTATAAAGCGGAAAATTCAATAAAAATTAATAACCAAAACTGAAAAGCACATAGAGGTGAAAGAGGAAGTGGGAAAGAGCGTCATTGTTTCAACTTCCTCCCTCAGCTCTATGTGCTTTTCAAGGGGGAGAAAGGTTAACCCCAACCCATGGACCAAAGAAGCAGTGAGAGGAGGGACAGGAACTTCACAGGTGACAGGGGAATCCCTTAAGGGTGTCACGATCCATGGGGTAGTTTATTTGCTGCTTGGTAAAATGCTTCTCAAACACATGGAAGTCTACACTTATGCTGCACGGAGTCTTTCCAACTGGAATGACAACCTCTTTACAGTGGACGCTCGGGTTGCGAACGTGATCCGTGCGGGAGGCATGTTCGCAACCCACAGTGCCACATCTGCACACATGTGGGCCGCAATTTGGTGCTTCTGCACATGTGCAAAGCGTGATTTAGTGTTTCTGCACATGCACAAGCGCCGAAATCCAGAAGTAACCCATTCTGGTCCTTTCAGGTTCGGCGCAGTGCGCAACCCGAAATCACACAACTTGAAGTGTCTGTAACCCGAGGTATGACTGTATTTAGGAAAAAATGTCGCCTCCTGGATTGCAATCGAAATGATGTACAACATGCAGTGTGGGATTTGTTCCTGTAGACCTGGACGATCAAGGGAAGTAAGAGGTTTGAAACCAAAATCTGAGTTTTAATCCCTTCTCAAGGAATTCAGGGTGACGCACACAGCTTCCCTCCCCCATCTCCATAACAACCTGCAAGGTACATTGGCCGCTAGAGATTTTCAGCACCCAGCACCCTTCATACGAGTGCAGGGTGGGGAGTTTGGGAACCAGGTCTACTTACTCCTAACGTGGCACGCTAGCCAGTATCCCGCACTGGAGCACAAGCTGTAGATCAATGAATGCACAAAAACATGAGTAATGATAGCATGTATTGCTTTTTGGAAGGGGAAAAAGGAGCTCTGCAGCTCACAGCCATTCCGCACAGTGGGTAGGATGAAAGATTAACTGTATTGAATGTGTGTGGGAAGTCATGTTTCTGAATTTCCCGCTCTATAATAAGGTTTCGGCATGTAGTAAATTGGTACCTAGTGGGGAGGTCTCTGCTAAACCTTTCTCCCTCTTATATCAGTTTTCATGTGGGGAAAACATCATGAATTCTGCCAACTTATTTTGCATAACAGAGAGGCTGAATGCTTGGACCCTGATGCAATCTGGTCACAGAATTTTCCAGAATGCGCGAGTGTGTTGAGGCAAATAGTGCTATAGACGACTTACCCAATTCTTTTATACTGGCGCGTTGAGATGTGCGCTTTTGTGCAAACATCAAAGCCAGACATATATAGAATCATTTGTGTGAAAGCTTTAGCGCTTCAGACATTCCGCTTTTGTAGTTCTTTCTGGGAAGAGGAACTAAAAATAGACCAGGAGTCAATTCTGTGACAATTGTTGCTGTACCAAAGTTATGTGGAAACATAGGGGAACATTAAAAAAATAATCAGTAAAATAAGCTGTATAGTCAACCTGAAAATTCATGTGCTGTCAGTCTCATGCGACAAGCTGATTTCTTTTTTTATAAAGCAGAATAGCAGCAATGCTAAAAGGTAGTTATAACTAAGGCTGCTCTCCTAAGTCCATTCACCTGGGAGGAAACCCCATTTAAGTCAATGGGGCTTACTCAAAGGTAGGAATGGATCTGCCCACTTCAGTTCTCTTAGTTTCTTATTTTTCCACTCTTAAAGTCACATTTTTCAGCAATTAGGAATCTTTTTTACATCCTCCGATGTCAGTGTTACCTGTAGTGAAAGGTATGTTCATTTTTGGTGCTTCTTCTGTAGCTACTGTCGCAGGAACCCCTCCCCCCAATCATTCAGTTTGTACAAACCCGACACACACAAACACACTCACACACGACACTTCTGTTATAAATTCATAGAAAATCAACCATACATCGGATCTGCACCGTTCCACTTTTATTTTACTCCATGAAGGAAGGACTACAAAATGGGGAAGGTTTGATACAGGGCAGCCATAATCTCTTGAGCGTACCAACACATCCGCAGGAAACCTGCCCAGTTGGCATGCCAACCTTGATGGTCCTAGACAGAAGACCATCAAAGTCACAAAGGACCTGCATATGGGAATGGATTCAGCATGGACTGAAACAAGGGACAGTGATCAGCTCTTCCTTCTGGGGACAGGAAACTGCAAACTCCCTTTTGTCCTCTGGAAAGTACTCATGGGGAGCGGGAGAGGTGGAACCGGCCAGGTGACAAGACACTCAGGTTACCACCACAACTCCTCCCTCAACCCCTCCTTTTTGTGATGTGTCAATGATGTAGTTGTGATGTAGTTATGATGTAGTCTTGGGGGTGTAGCATGGGGGATTAGTAGCTAATAAAAGCTGGGGTCTTCTTTTGTTCAGGGCTTCCATCTTGTTGGTGGGAGTCCTGTTGCGACAGTCTTCAATAAAGACCAAGCCTACTGGCTGCTGTTTTGCTCTGGTATTCCTGGCTGCTGTCCTTGTTTTTTTGTCCAAGGGAACTCTCAGATTTCTCCGTTAACACTACTGGCACAACACATTCATATCTGAGGCTATTTGAGTTTTTAAAAGCATCAAGGATGTGGGCACCACAAGCTACATTTCTTTCTCGCTATGAATTGTCAGGCTCACATGAAATGCCACTTCGTTTAATAAGATGACTTTGCTGGCCTTGTGCTGAGACTGTGCAATAATAAACGTTCCGAATTTCCCTTTGAAAAACTGCTTGTTGTTTCTAGGAAACATGCATGTGAAAAACATGGGAAGTGGGCGAGAGTGATGCTCTGCAACAGCTCAGCATTCATTTGATAGGGTTTGCTTTTGGTTGTTAATATGCAGCACCCAGCAGTTATCAGACCAGGCACTTTAGATAAGAGCACTTATTTTCCCAATAAATGCTCTTAGGATAATAGAGCAGCGTTCTAATGATAAGACAGTAGACACAAACCGTATTGAGAATATTTATTTGCTTTCAGTGCTATTTTTCAATAAATACGGGTGCCATATTGATTATCTGAGGTAAAACAAATGAAAAAAACACTCAATGTAGACCCATAATTTGTGCAGTGTTTTCTACCGTTATACAGAAATGTCAAAATCCTCGATATTGCCTTAACATTGCTTTAATAAAAACTCTCCTTAGAAATTGGTCAGTTATTGCGTGCTATGTTTTTCCTGTGTGCCTTTTGAAAACTACGCTAGGTATATTTCTAAGAAACTTGCACATCAAAGTTATAGGAAGAACCAGGCCATGAGGACGCACTTTGGGCCAAAAGCAAGGTAAAGATTGCTTGAAAATGACAGTATGTTTATTACTGCTTGTTTATTACCCTCGTTAACAGATGGCCTGGAATAGCAACGTGCTTACAGGCACGCCGTGTTATCTTCAAAGGTGCAACCCATCGATTTCAACAAAGCTGCACCAACATTTAAAGCTACTTGAGTGCTCTGCTACATCGGCCTTTTCTACGCTACTGCTTTACCACAGGTGAATATTGAACATGGGAGTGGCATAACCAGAAGCTGACCTGCAGCATCTGTCCGGAGTAAAAGCATCTGGGTGATCGGTTTGCTAACTCAGAAGGAAGGAAGGTGATACTTGCCAATGTTTTCCCCTTGCAGCCCTTGGCACTCCCTGAAAATACGCCCCAGAGGATTGCAGGGCCCTCCAGAACAGCATGGAAACTGGATCGGGGGAATTACAGAACATTATTTCCCCTCACCCACCCCCTATATTAGAAGGGGTACCTACTGGAAGAAGAGCCATTCCATAAGTGGAACAGCAGCGCTGGATTTCACCTAGTCCAGATGTTGAACTATAACTCACAGCATCTTGATAGGGAGCCACAGGTTGGCAAATCCAAGCTTATGTCATTTGCTAAATATGACTATGTTGTTAAACCATATTCCCCACCCCAGACCTGGTGTAACGGGACAGAACCTGATATTTTGCCATCAGAGCTAGTTTGCCCTCTTGTCCCACCTTGCCTTTGGCTGGCTCACACTTAACCCTGTTCAGACACCGCTTTCGGCCTGTATTATCTTCCACACAAAGGCCGAAACGTGTTGTCTAAGAGCTCTTCTATAGGCCGATTTATTTCTTGTCATGGCTGTGCATGAGGATTTTCTGCTGTCGCGCAGTTCCAGAGATTCTGGCCTCTTCTCTTTCTCTCCACCTCCAAAATATCCCATATCCTTTCGTAGCATCTGTTTCCATTCCAAGGGGAAAACAGATCCTGTGAAAATGATGGAAGGAAGGACTTCCGGGGTGGCGCCATCGGTAATGGCGGATTCCCTCTGATCTGGAGGGATTAGCTCCACGGGAAACGGGTCTTTCCCGCTACGGCGAAGCGGGGACCCTTTCAAAATCACAAGCAGATCCTGTGAAAATGATGGAAGGAAGCAGCTCAAGGCTACTTTTGAAGACACTAAACTACAAGCAGTGGGTAGCAGTAGCAGATATCCATGAATGCTTTGGGTATTCTCAACCAACATTTGCTGATTTGAATCTGCTATTAATTTCCTTCTCCTCAAGAGGGATTGTGAATGCAGAGCATTCAATAGAAAGGAGCAGCTTTCTTCCCTGTGTAAAATCATTCTCTCTGGGCACACCAAAACTAGCAAATGGTGGTGTGAGAAGCTAAGATCAGAACATGGTCCTATGTGGCACACTTCAGCTGTGTGCTGAGCAATCCTTCCTTTCTGATCCATGCCGCTGCAGACAAGAATTTTAATGTTTGAGTCACACCCGCTGCCATGTGGAAAAGAAGCCCTTTTGAAAGAAAACAGTGCGGACATTCCTCTCCCATGCATGCAAGCTTTCCATACACGGGCAATTTTTAAAAGCACGGAGAATCGTTCCAACTTGCAATCCTGCACCTACAATTTGAAGTGATACAGTTGTGGAAGGTCTGTACCACATGGTATTTCATGCACATTTGAATCTGCCCTTATTCAGCCATGGTTCAAGCAGCAAAACGTTCAGACGCAAAACCATTACAAGCTGGATGAGTCAATATTTTCTTGACCTGTGGTAAGCTGTAGCGTAGACAAGTCCTTTAAAAAGACTCAAGTAACCATCTGCTGAAACACCACACCATTGGAGAAATTAGCTCTTACTGGATATTTTTTTAGCAGCACTGGAATATCCTTCACATCAGTGAAGCACCTTAGAAAGTTTCTAACCTGGTTTTGCAGACGTCATTCTATGGACAAAAATAAGCAGCTATAGGACAACCCTCCTCTCTCCGCTCTGCTAGAATAGAACATCTGACTCAACATTCACCCCCCATTCACAATAAAATAGACGTTAAAAAAATAAACTCTTCATTTTCGTCACCTCTCGCAACACAGATGAACGTACTAAAGGGCAGGACATAGCTCTTTGTTTCCTCATTTGTAAGTGCAGCAGGCTGGCCAGTTTCAGTTCTCTTTACAGTGATGCTGGTGGAAGACCAGTTGCCACTTAAGTGGCTGGCAGGGCCGGCCCAACTATTTGGCAGAGTGAGATGGATGCAGCTCTGTTCACTGTTAGCCTGGCTTGCACCTGCTAAACTAGCCTGCTGCCCTCAGATATGGTGGAGGATGCTGGCCTGTTGTTGCAGTATGCAGAATGCATGTGTGTGGCGAGCACTCTCCTCCTTTGCCTCAGGCGGCAAATTTTTTAGGGCCAGCCCTGGTTGCCCAATGCCCGTGGACCAAAATACAGCTTGCTTACAACCATGTTGTTAAGAACACACACACCTGGCTGTGTTTTTTGTTTGTTTCTTTGTACCTTAAGAGACAAAACACGATGTTACTCCTGCCTTTTAAAATGGAAGAATAAATATCATACATATTATGTGCCTCATTACTTTACCGCAGGAGATGGGGGCCCTGTGACTCTCAAAATGCTCTTAAGACTCCGTCAGTCCTGGCCCAGGTGGCCAACAGTGAGGGATTATGGGAGTTGTGGTCCAGCATCATCTGAGGGGCTCCAGGTCTCTCCCCCCCCCCCGCTTTACAGAGAGTGAGCTCAAGTACCAAGGCTATAAGTGCTTTGTTTAAGAAACACTGTGTGGCATGCGCTCAAGCACTTTAAATATTTGGATAGTGGTAGTAATCCACACAGAACTCATAAAGCTACAGCTAACGTCTTTGTGCTTTGTTTCTCGGTGTTCCAAGCATAGTATATAATTTGGTTGTCGTTATTATGGTGGTTATTGTTATTACATTTTGCAAGCTATCGATAAGACACAACGACACTACCCTGAACGACCGATTTGGAGTACTGGTGGAACCAATGGTCTGCATTTCAGCACTCCATGCTCATGCAGTGGGTGGCATTGGCAGGGCAGCATGGTTCATGTGAAAGTGGCACTGGGAGGTGGGCCATCCAGCTGTGATCAGATCAGCTCTGGACCGTCAATACTCTACAGAGTTCACCATTGCCAGGGGCTCATCAAACGTCGCCAACATGACTTGCTTTGTGGAAGGTCTGGAGATGATGTCTCCTGCCTCCGTGGGCGAGTGAATACTATTGTCTAAAGACTCGTCTATAAGGTTTGACACCTCTTCTTCTTCATGGTTTTCATACAACGTATTGATATGCAGAAGAGGGTGAGCGGCGTTACAGTTTAAGGCAGGCACTGGCTCTGCTGGGCTTATGTGGGGCAGAGTGACCTTTTTCGCAGCACCGGAAGTTGCTATGTGGTTGTGATTGCAGGTGAGAAAAGTCCCGGCCGCAGGCACAGTCCTGCATGTGTTGTGAGAGTAAAGGGTATCTTTCCCCGGAACGGAAGATCCTAAAAGAGAAACAAAACACTTTTTAAATCATTGCTCGCTTTTCATACACCCAACAGGATCAGTTCTGGCATTCATGTTTTGTGGGTTCGTTTCCATGAAAACAAGCAACTGGCGGAGACTACGTTCTCCATGGACTCTGATAGTTGGACAGAGTATCTATAATAGGATCCTGTATCATCTTATGCCTCTCTGGGCTAGTTGACACATTAGCCTATCAAAGCCTCTTTGTCCCTGTAGTGGTCACTGGTTTCAACAGCCACTACAGGTACCTGATCTGGAGAACCTTCTTCCAACCCTCAGAAGGACAGCAAGCAATACTCACCCATCCTCACCTAACTCACTTTTTTTTTTACTTGCCGAAGGTAAAAAGGAAGTTACCTGTTTTCCTTCCTTGTTCTTTCTAATATTTGCTGCTCTTTATTTCAGCTGGGAGGAGACAGAGCAAGGAAAACCAGCTGGCATCTGAGAGAACAAGGAAGAAGAACAACAACAGGGGCAGTGACTCTCTTTCTCCGCAGTCAGAAAAGGCAAGGATGCTATGGTAGTGAGCGCATGGTGACGCCTTGGGCACCTGGAGAGGCCGCCAGAAGCATGGAGATGCACAGGATGCGTCCTTAGGAGGCTAATGCATGAACAGATCCTGAGAGACCATCAGCAGCTGCAGAAAGCCTAGCTGCCTAGAAAGCTATTTTAGACGCTGGTGGTGAGAACATTGCTCCAGATTCTAAATAATTGTTAACGCAGAAGGTCTTTCAGAGAAACATACACAGAATTCTTTGAGGAGGGATCCAGAGGGGATATGCGAAGATATTCACTGGCTGTCTTCTCCCACATGAAAACCAGAATATTCAATTAGGATGTTCATCAGAGGCTGTTTTTTATACAGCCCTATCTTCCAAAGTGGGCATCTACTGAAGAGAGTCTTTTCTGCAGTGACCCTTGAATTGTGAATATCTCCCTAGATATTTTTTAGATGCCAAAGTCTACATTGTTCTCTCAGCGTTTTCATGTCATTTTAGAATATCCGGCCTTCTTTTTAATTGGGTGATTGCTTTAAATTTTATTTATCGGTTCATTATCCCTATTGTTTTTATTAACTGCTGCATGGTTTTATTGTTTCTACCTTCTTCTTTTAAATAGCTTTCTTGAAGTGTGGAAGCTGGAATATGGAAGCTGGAGGATAAATTCTTAAAAATAAACACCTTAAATATTTCAACACACAGGAAAGCAGGATATTTTAAGCAGCTGACGTAAACACCCAAAGGCCAAAGCAATAAAAATATGATGTAGCATTATTCATAGAAGAGCTGGAGCCAGAATATATACTAAGTAAAAAAGCAAACAAACCTCAACTGCTTATATCAAAGTAGCTGTATTAAAACTAATGGGATTTCTCAGTACTAAGTAAATTGATGATGGGCATTAACTATGTAGGAAAGCCTTAAGAGCATATTAATGCTACAGTTAAATAGGTTTAGGAGTTATTTTCCTCAGCTAACTGTAGTTCTGGGTGCCTGGGAAGCTGAGAATTCTCAGTATCCTCAGCTATAACTCCCAGAATTCCTTTGAAGGAAGCCATGACAGATTAGTACAAAACTCATATAAATTTTCCTAGTCTAGAAATACTCCTGAGTGACGTTGAAAGAGGAGTAATTTGCACACTTAATCCCCCCCAAGCAAATTCTACAAAGCAGTTTAATTCTAAATATCCCAGCATTTGCACCGAGAATGTAAAACCTGAGTTATTCCAGAACGTTTTCCAGAATGACCCCCTCTTTAAGTCCCTAGTGTAATTTTTCATCATTGGTCTGTATCAGTGTTTCCCAAAGTTCGGCCTCCAGCTGCTTTTGGACTACAACTCCCATCATCCCTGAGCACTAGTCCTGCTAGCTAGGGATGGTGGGAGTTGTAGTCCAAAACCAGCTGGAGACCCAACTTTGGGAAACACTGGTCTGGATTCCCTTCAGCTGTGTGAGTTTTCTGCAAGCAAAGCTATTTGTGTGCATCCGTCTGAGGCGAGACATTTTGAGGTCTTACAAAAAAAAAAAAAAAAAAGATGGACAGCCAGGGACATTCAGCTGGCCTGTCTCTAGAAAGGCCCAAGATGGCGGAGGTGACTATTATTATCCTCCTCCCTCTCCAACAGTCAGGGATGGGGGAAAGCGTGTACCTATGTTAAGGAGAACAATCGGCCTGCAACTTTGCAGTTGTGTTCGAGGCAGGCCAAGCGAGAAGAGACTTAGTGGCTCCCTCAAGAAGAGCTCTGGGACACCTATTAGGGTGTCCAAGCTGTACAGCTGTGTAAAGAAGCTAGATGGAACAAAACATGAAAACGTCCCTAATGACCTCATGCAAAGGCAACCAAAACCCAGGGTAAACACTGGAACTCTTGAAACCCCACCACTTGGGAAACTGGGGTGCAATTTACATGACTAATACGACCCACATTCTGCATTTGTTCTGCCTCTGCCCCAATTCTGAGTCATTCAAAGTGAACCACCTTCCTAAAAAACATCAGTTGACAAGCGCAAGAGGAATAAAAAGCTTGATTTTGCAGGAGTTTAGAAGACAGAATTACCAGAGCATCTGAACGGACAACAAGACTATTTTCTTTTAACTCTTACATTAGTGAGTTAAAATTTTAAAATAAGCTGCAGATATGAGCGGCCAGCCTCTAGGTTAACAAGAGAATATGCAAGAAGGGGGAAATTCCTATCGGCAAGTCTCAGGTTCAGCTTACATCCCTGGGGTCTGGTTTCTGTATCTGCATGCTCAGAATCCCATAACTCTGCGATCGCACCTTCCCATCCTATCTCCTCCCATCTGACACATATAGGTTCCAATACGGAAGCTACTGTATTGGTGTGATGTGAGATTCCAACCATGTGGAAAGCAGCAACCCTGTCCAGGAACTTCTAAGAAATTGTGGAGAGAAACGCCCAAGATCGGAAGCAAGTTTTTATGCAGCTTTTGCATTTGACTTGGACCCCATGGGACAATTAGCCACAACATTCACTGTACCTTTGAGAGAAGATGCGACATGCACGATGACTTTCTCTTCTTGGCTTAAAAATCCACTCCCTTGGCTTTTGGATGTTGCCATAGAGGTAACAGGTTGAATCTCTGGCTTGGGTTTCTTACTGCTCAGTAGATACGGATGAACGTCTAAGGAGAAGTGTCGCGTATGTTTCTTCTCGTTGCCTGCGCCAGAGAGGGCGGCAGATTCATTTTTGTGGGCTGAAGACGGCTGAGAGTTTTTCGAGTTGGCCTCCAGCAAAGGGGCAACCAAACTGTCCGTTGCCGTTTTCCGACGCACAGGTTTGGGCTTCTCAGGCTTGTTGTTTTCAACCTTCATAATAGCCAACTGCTCTTTGAACGGCTGAGGAAGAGGATTGGAACTCGGGATCCACTTCATTTTCTTCCGGGGTCGCTTAATGACCAGCGGTTCGCTGTGGTCGATGTCCGCAGGATCAATGCTGGGGTCGATGGTTTGTATCCCGGAATCGCGCACGGTTGGGGTGACATCGTGATTAGACTGAGCGAGCGCCGCCAGCAGCTGGCGCACAACGTTGTCGTACATCAGATCGCTCTCGTTGGTGATGAAATCCAAGCGGTTCAGCGACTTGATGTGGTCCCGGTTCTCGTTGCAAAACATAGCCAAGATATTGATGTCGCAGAACTGGGACTTCTGCCACTGCTTTTTCGTCTTGATGCCGACCTTGTTCAGCTTGTCGAAGATGAAGTTGGATTTGCGGACTATAAAGAGGTGGATCAAATTGATGAGGATAATCAAGTTCATGAAACAGAGGAGGGCAATGTCTACCACGGCAATGATGCGTTGGAGCTGAACTGACGGCAGTTTGCAGTTCACTCGGATGAGCAACCTTGAACTGCTCGTTTTGTCGGGAGGCTCCCCTAGAGCGCACGTAAACTCGTTTTGCTTCTGCGTGGCGTAATAGGTGGACAAGTATGTGATCGGGATGATACTTAAAAATATGATGAACAGGTGCCGCGCAAGGTAAAGTTTGGCTAAGAAATTGCTGCGTCCCCTCCGCTCCAGGTATTTCTCAAATAAGTTTTGCTCCGGGCTCTTTTCCTTTTCCGCGTTCTCAATTATTTCCCTTTTCTCTCGCTCTGTAATCCCAGGGCCTTTGGACTGGATTTGCTTTTCGATTTTTGGCGCGCGGCCTTCGGCTGCTCGGTGGTAGCAGTTATCTATCTCCTGGAGCAAAAAGTTAAGTTCAGAAGTCAGCCTGGTGGAGGCCAGGAATTCCCAGCCAAGCGCTGGAATGTACATAATGCCAGCAAAAGCCAGCAGGGCATATGGAAGGAACTTATGCTCAAACAGGGAGGGCCAGCGGCTGGCATTTACTCCTGGCAAGGCATCCCTTAGTTCTGTCCAACAGTATCCTCTGGCATACAAGGCTTGGTCACGGGTGAAGTTGTGTGGTGTGTAACAGTATATGGGTTCCTCTGTATAACAGAGAGAAAAGTCACTGCTGTGCATTTAACCTACAAAAAGAAGCTCTGCAAAATAAATATTTCATAAACTATATCAATTTTCGTCTACTGCATATTTAAAATAACATCAACGTGCATAGAACTGCACCACTCTAATTGCCATGGCCAACTCGGTCTTCCTAATCGTGATATAAATCTTTACGTTCCATAGATCTGCATAGAGATCATAGCTCTTAAGCTTAGGTAGTTTACAGAGGAATCTGTAAACCTGAAAACTCTAGGATGAATTTGAGCTAGGAATATCATTCAACACTTGCAGCAATTGTCTTGGGGGAGATTTCCAATGTAAACCATAATGTGCTCTGGAAAGCAAATGAACAGGATGCCACAGCAATACACTTAGCAAGGATAAGGTAAAGGTAAAGGGACCCCTGACCATTAGGTCCAGTCGTGACCGACTCTGGGGTTGCAGCGCTCATCCCGCTCTATAGGCCGAGGGAGCCGGCGTACATGTGTCATGTGGCCAGCATGACCAAGCCGCTTCTGGCGAACCAGAGCAGCGCACGGAAACGCCGTTTACCTTCCCGCTGGAGCGGTACCTATTTATCTACTTGCACTTGAAGTGCTTTCGAATTGCTAGGTTGGCAGGAGCAGGGACTGAGCAACAGGAGCTCACCCTGTCACGGGGATTCGAACCACCAACCCTCTGATCGGCAAGCACTAGGCTCTGTGGTTTAACCCACAGTGCCACTTGCGTTAGTGCTGCATTTCTCCTTGAACAGGTGCAGCCTTACTATTTCAAAGACTAGATACATTTCTTTAAGAACACGTGACTAAGCAGGTTTACTATATTATTATTATTTCCTTAAAACCCCCTTGAAGCAGCTCAAAGCCCAGGAGGTGCAGCAAGTAAAAAGCCAAAGAACTTTCCGACCTCCTTGATATCCTTAAAGCAGGTGTGGTGGAACCTTCTGGTCCTGAAGGTCAGTTCCTTATCAAATCCTAGCCTCACAAGCCTAATTTCCAACCTAAGATGAACTTATAATGTCTGGTTTCAATGGATTTTTCAAATGCTTAACTCCGTCTTTTGTTTTCTTTATCTTTTTAGGTAAGTTCATGAAGATGCCAACAAAAGTTATGTTCGGTGTTGTTCACAATACTGAGAGATGCTAGTGAAGTTGTAGATGGATGTTAATGAATGTTAAGATATGTCGGTATCTTCATGAACTTACCTAAAAAGATAAAGAAAACAAAAGACTTAAGCATTTGAAAAATCCATTGAAACCAGACATTATAAGTTCATCTTAGGTTGGGTAGTTCCAAGTCTCTGTGGCTTTGCATAAGGTTTTGTATATTTCTCTCAGAAGATTGATAAAGAATGTATAATTATTTTGGTAATTATTGTGTGTATATTAGTCACCAACGTGTTGCATGAGTCATACTACAGTGGTACCTCAGGTTACATATGCTTCAGGCTACATACGCTTCAGGTTACAGACTCTGCTAACCCAGAAATAGTGCTTCAGGTTAAGAACTTTGCTCCAGGATGCGAACAGAAATTGTGCTCCAGCAGCACGGCAGCAGCAGAAGGCCCCATTAGCTAAAGTGGTGCTTCAGGTTAAGAACAGTTTCAGGTTAAGAACGGACCTCTGGAACTAATTAAGTACTTAACCCAAGGTACCACTGTACTTCTATCAGTAGCACAGGCTGCATTTTTCGAGCATCACAAGCCAAATTTGGCAGGCGGGAGGGACTCCGTGCCTGACAACCACCTGACCTCGCATGGTATCAGGCGACTGGGTGCTTTGACGTTCCAAAGTCAGGACTTCAAAGACCCATGCAAGGCTTGCTGCAGGCATGGCTCACACAGCCAATCTAACAGGCTTTGGCTCTGCCACCCACCAACTGATGGGCAAGCGGAGCTGAAGCCAGCTTTTCCTTGCCATTGCACCATCAGGAGTGCACTTTAAGGTTGCCAATTTTGGCCTCATGGGCCAAAACTGAACCCTTGTTTGACCTGCAGACTGGAGGTTCCACACTCCTGACTTAATGGAACAGAAGCTTTGACTATACAGCAACAATATATTCAAAGAACTTGGCTGCTCAAATGCATGCAACATTTGTAAGTCCTACATTCTCTTTGCTGTGTCCAGATTCTTTTTGAGATCTGTATAATTCATTCTCTGCATGTACTCCGACAGAGAAAAGTAGTTGGGAAACATTCACTCCTGTTTTAAGTACACTACAGCTTGCTGTGTCTTCTGAACTGAGGCAAACCATGGTTACTCTTAACCTATGATCAGTGGAAAGAAGCCATCTTCAAACCAGACTTTATGAAGCCGACTTGTTTCCACCAGACATAGTTAAAAGATTAGACGTAGTTCAGAGAACACGCTAACCTGTGGTAAAAACAGAAGCTGAAGCTCTCAATCAATACTTCTCATTACCACACCAAAGGAAGGCTAGGCTCATTCTTGTAACACTAAACCATGGTTACATCTCAACACAACCAACGTTTCTCTGTATGGATATCGAGTGATCTAGAATCCAAACAAACACTTATCCTTCAGGGATGCGTATTTTTAACTTTAAATCTTGACAACTTAGACCAGGGGTCAGCAAGGTTTATCTTGCCTGGGCCAGATCGGTCCCGCGGAGATCCCTACGTGGGCTGGATCGCGCGTGCGCCCGCAATTTCCAGTGTCTACGCAGACACGATTTCTGGCATCTGTGCATAAAGGTAAAGGGACCCCTGACCATTAGGTTCAATCGTGATCGACTCTGGGGTTGCGTGCTCATCTCGCTTTATTGGCCGAGGGAGCCGGCATACAGCTTCCGGGTCATGCGGGCAGCATGACTAAGCCGCTTCTGGTGAACCAGAGCAGCTCACGGAAACGCCGTTTACCTTCCCCCAGAGCGATATCTATTTAGCTACTTGCACTTTGATGTGCTTTCGAACTGCTAGGTTGGCAGGAGCAGGGACCAAACAACGGGAGCTCACCCTGTCGTTTGCTGGATTCGAACCGCCGACCTTCTGATCGGCAAGCCCTAGGCTCTGTGGTTTAACCATGTGCAGACGCAATTTCTGGCACTGCAGAAGAGAGTCCCCGTGCCGCGCTGGTTTAGCGCAGCACACGAGCAGGCAACTCGGTTCAGAGGTGGCTCATGGGCTGGTCAAATGACCTCTGCAGGCCACTTTCAGCCCATGGTCCTTAGGTTTCTGACCCAACTTAGACAATTCAGGCTTTGTTAGCATCTTACAATAATTTAAAACAACCAGAAATTAAAATCTAACTTAAAACATAGCCTCTGCAACACACTAAACCAGGGATCTCAAAGCCCTTCCTGATACAAAAGTCTTCTAAAGACTAGGGGAGAGCAACCAGCCAGTTGGCTAACAGAAATCCTGTAACTATGACACCATTTGAGAATAGCACTCTAAATCTTATGGCATGGGACCAACTCCTATCGATGGGATCCTGCCATGTGTGAGTTTGCCCACAATGCATTCAGATAGTGCACAGAAACACAAGGACTGTCGACAATGTACAAGCCACCATATAAGCTCCACTTGCAGTAATGATAGGTCTTTTGCATGTGCTATAAACTTATTAATTCAGTTAGGAATGCCTTGTTTCACTTGTGTGGGAGGGTCTGTCTAACTGATTTAATAGGGCTGCAATTAATTTTGCCTCATTTGTGTAGTTTGCACTGCCAAAGATTATTTTTTGCATCTGAATACTTGTGTTTGCCGCTAAGGATTCTGCAAATATTTGCTTTCAAGCATTCTCTAGGGAGAAATTTACTGTGGCATACAGTGACACAATAATAGTTTTGGGCAAGGGATCTGCATGGGTGAGTCTATTCTGTATTCGTAACAGCTCACAGATGCTCCTTTACTAAATGCAGGAAATGGGCTAAATTATTCACAGTGCCCTGGCAAGGAGCTCTTAAAATAATGCTATTAACATCTAGCTTTGGAAGATGTATACTGAAAGTACAAAGACTGTCACATTTCAGTGGATTGTGATCACACAACCGTGACTCAGGCTACCATATAGGACAAAGTCATATCAAGGCCAGCCTTCTGTAAGAAGTTGCCTCAAGCTGATTCATATTGTATGATTTCTGGAAACAGAGTGACTCCCGTCACGGGACACATGAAGAGATGTGTTGTGTGAATGACCTCTACATCCCATACACTTCCTGACAATATTACGGCAAGCAGTTCCCGAAATACCTTTGTAGTAGGTCTCATCATGACTTAGCACAAGCTATTCAACATCAAGTGAAGGCAATCGCTTGCAAAAAAGGAAAAGGAAGAAAGGGACTATAACTCCCATCATACCTAGCTAGCAGGATCTGTGGTCAGGGATGATGGGAATTGTAGTCCAAAAACAGCTGGAGACCAACGTATGGGAAACCCTGCTAATATAAAGAAATATATTTGCAGCATTACACCTCGCCTGCTTAAACCACACAATCCCAGTACAACTTCTCACTGCGCATAGTCACGTGTTCAAAATGGAGTTATTATCTTGCTGCCAATTTTGGATTACAGTCATAATTAGGTCCGTTAGGTCCAGTCGTGCCCGACTCTGGGGTTGCAGTGCTCATCTCGCTTTATAGGCCGAGGGAGCCGGCGTACAGCTTCCGGGTCATGTGGCCAGCATGACTAAGCCGCTTCTGGCGAACCAGAGCAGACACAGAAACGGCGTTTACCTTCCTGCCAGAGCGGTACCTATTTATCTACTTGCACTTTGACATGCTTTTGAACTGCTAGGTTGGCAGGAGCAGGGACCGAGCAACGGGAGCTCACCCCGCCACGGGGATTCGAACTGCCGACCTTCTGATCGGCAAGTCCTAGGCTCTGTGGTTTAACCTCAGGTTAAATATGCTTCAGGTTGAGTGTTTTCCATGGCATTTTCCGGAATGCATTTTCCGGAACGCGTTACTTCCAGGTTTTGCCGCTCGCGCATGCACAGACGCTGAAAATGACGTCACGCGCATGCGCGGAAGCCGCAAATCGTGACCCACACAGACGCAGGTTGCGTTCGCTTTAGGATGCGAACGGGGCTCCGGAACGGATCCCATTCGCATCCAGAGGTACCACTGTATTGGACCTGCATGGCTATCTATACTTTTCACATGAAGCTGGTTACTTGTCTTTTCCCCCTGAATGAAAATATGCTCCCAACTAATACTGCCAAGGCATTTTATAGAAAATAAATATTTTAAGAAGGTGAGCCCATTCCTAAAGTGTTTCTGCGTGAGCTGCTGTTCCAAGTTCACCTCCTGATTGGAAAGAGGTAAGCTGAGAGCAGTGCGTTGGCATGGGCTGGTATGCCTCTGTGGATGGGGAACCCAAAGGGCTGCTGCAGGAGAGACAGACTAAAGAATTGGTTTCTCTTCCTCTCTGCAGTCAGCATGGAAACCAAGGAGACTTGCAGATCCCACTCACTCATCTGCATGGAAATCTGATTCACTGGCTATGGCCATGGAGGCAGGTTGTTGAGCAGAATTCTTTTAATTCTTTATAGGAAACAGGCTGAGGAGGATTGAGTTGATGAGACCAGTAATGGGTCCAACAGTCAAGAAGGTGGTTTCTGCATATGCTGTAGGGGCAGATAGGTAAAGGTACCCTTGCCCGTATGGGCCAGTCTTGACAGACTCATCTCACTCTAGAGGCCGGGAGCCAGCGCTGTCCGCAGACACTTCCGGGTCACGTGGCCAGCGTGACAAAGCTGCTCCGGCGAACCGGCACCAGAGCCGCACACGGAAACGCCGTTTACCTTCCCGCTATAAAGCGGTACCTATTTATCTACTTGCACTTAAGGGTGCTTTTCGAACTGCTAGGTGGGCAGGAGCTGGGACCGAACAATGGGAGCTCACCCCGCCGCGGGAATTCGAACCGCCGACCATGCGATCAGCAAGTCCTAGGCGCTGAGGTTTTACCCACAGCGCCACCCGCGTCCCTGGTAGGGGCAGATAGGGCTCATCAACTGGGAGCGTTGCCCATCTAGGACATGGGTAGGACAAACTAAGGCCCGGGGGATGGATCCGGCCCAATCGCCTTCTTAATCCGGCCAGCGGACAATCCGGGAATCAGCGTGTTTTACGTGAGTAGAATGTGTGCTTTTATTTAAAATGCATCTCTGGGTTATTTGTGGGACATAGGAATTCGTTCACCCCCCCCCTTCAAAATATAGTCTGGTCCCCCACTAGGTCTGAGGGACAGTGGACCAGCCCCCTGCTGAAAAAGTTTGCTGACCCCTGATCTAGGAAAAGGGACTCTCTAATCCTAAACATCAGCTGCCCTGTTTTGAACATGTAGGTGTGAACCATGTTTATAGCATTGCTAATCCACCATGTTCAGGATTTCATTCAAATCAATAAGATCAAGCAAGAAAACATATGGCAAGCTAAGTGCCTTAGCAACTCTGGAATGCTTGTGATATCATCAGTTGCTTCTGGCTACTAGGCTGCTTATTTTGCATACATGTAAGCTTTAATTGTCACAGACTGAAAACTCTGCATTTTAATTTCTTCCTGACCTCACTTTTTACACATACACATACACACACACACACACACACACCTCCATATTCCTGCTGAGGATAATATTTAGCACACTTGATGTAGCGATTCTAGATCTCAAAAAATTATAAATAATAATAATATTATTATTATTATTTATACCACGCCCATCTGGCTGTGTTTCCCCAGCCATACTGGGCGGCTCAAAACACATAATTGTAAAACATTAGACATTAAAAATTTTCCCAAAACAGGGTTGCCTTTAGATGTCGTAATAAATATTATGCAGTAATAAATGTGGCAAAACAAGACACTGTTGTTTTTTCTGCAACAGACTGACATGGCTGGTCCTCTGGAAACAGCTAAACAAGGAGGCCAGAATAAGTGATAACATCTTTTGAAAACAGCAGCAAAGTCAATGCTCAGAAACTGTTACGTAGTTTGGTCCTCGACACACAACTCCTCTCGGCTGAGATCATGCTACCTGAAAGTGCTTGTTTTCCGATAAATGCAGCTTCCTAATAAGCAGGCATTCATCGTTTGGATTTGAGCGTATTCTACGGCATTAGGTAATACTGAAAGACGGGCTCTTTGACCTTTGCAACAACAGACCTCAGCGTGAAAAACAAGAGAGAAAGCACAGCGGGTTCAGCTAATGGAGAGAGCTATTGTGCACGAATAACAGGCTTCACATAGGACAAAAGAATGTAATGATGCACATCGTTTCCAATCCACCCAAAGCTTTGCATGTGCAAACTCGGCTGAAATGAGAGCTGCACAAGAGCGCACACCTGTTAGACCATGCCCATATTGTACCATAATGTTATGCAACTGTGCCCAGAAAGAAATCTCCTAGCGCTCTTCTAAGCTGAACAAAAATACAACACAACATGTGAATTCCTTGATTTCTTTAATTGAGTGAAAAGCAGGCATTGCATCGTTCCTGTGAATCAGCTTAAAAGAACAACCACGTCCCCGGAACCTCTTCTTTCTGGAAAAGAAATGATAAATCGGTTAAAATAGTTTAAATGAAACTCATTCTATTTTGTTTGCCAGCAAGTAAACGTATCAGCTTTCCTCACTTGGGCCAGGTGATTTTTAAAAATGGAAATCCACAAATTGTTACAAAAACAATGGCTGCCACTGAATGTATCATCAGATGAAATGCACCATGAACTGGTGAATCGAGGACTCTGGCGCCATGTTTGGCAACCACTCCTTTATAAGCCACTCATAGGCAAGAGTCGTGGCTTCTGCAGGCTGGGCTTTCTGAGAAGATGGCAGGGGCCAAAGCAGGTGATTGGCTCCTGAGAGTCGTCTGGGTGAACACTGCTGCCTTCCATTGTCCGATATCCCTTCTAGGTAAAGGTAAAGGTACCCCTGACCATTAGGTCCAGTCGCGGACGACTCTGGGGTTGCATGCTCATCTCGCTCTATAGGCTGAGGGAGCGGGCATTTGTCTGCAGACAGCTTCCGGGTCATGTGGCCAGAATGACTAAGCCGCTTCTGGTGAACCAGAGAAGTGCGCAAAAAGGCTGTTTACCTTCCCGCTGGAGTGGTACCTATTTATCTACTTGCACTTGACGTGCTTTCGAACTGCTAGGTGGGCAGGAGCTGGGACCGAACAACGGGAGCTCACCCCGTTGCGGGGTTTCAAACTGCCGACCTTCCGATTGGCAAGCCCAAGAGGCTTTGTGGTTTAGACCACAGCGCCACCCGCGTCCCGATATCCCTTCTAGCTTTGCCTAATCAAGAAGTGAAGAAAATCTGCTCCTCCAGTTGTTGCTAGACTACAACTCCTGTCCCTCACCATTGAGCATTGGTGGGAGTTGGAGTCCAAAAGCCGTTGTGGGGCCACGGCTTTCTCATCCTTGGCCTAGCCCCTCAATACTCTTGTGGAATCTGCCCAGAGGCTCGTATCCTGTGTTTCCATGCCAGTCATGGAGGGAAACCTCTCCCCCAGCAGCCAGTACAGAAACACATTCTACTTAGAAAGCTAACTGAAAACTTGTCTTCTACTGAGACGGTTGGTGGAGAAGGGGTGGGCTTCCTTTCCTCTGTCGCCAGCAAGGAAAACAATAGCTGCTTCATAGGCATTGATTTCCTTGTTGTCTATGAACACCAGGCGAACTGTTAAAACTCAAGGCTGCCACAGATCCAGCTCAATCTTCCAACATTCTGGATGCATCTCATAGCTACTGATTTGGACCTGGACGGTGATCACCTCTGGTTTAAACCTCTGAGCTGCTATCCTATGGTACTGATGCATCTCTGCTGACCAGCTTCTCCCAGACATTTGTCTGGGCTCAATCACCACTGAGGTCTGATCCCAATGCTGCCTAGGACTGAATATCAACGGTTTCCAAGATAGGCCCACACTGATTCAAGTAATCAGGTGATTTGGTTGCTCGCGTCACAAGTGCTTACATTATACACCTTTTGGTGCCAGGCAAAAAAGTTCCTTTGGCTAGCTGACACCATAGCTGTCAACGTTTCCCTTTTTTTTAAGGAAAATTCGCTTATTCCGAATAGGATTCCTCGCAAGAAAAGGGAAAAGTTGACAGCTATGACTGACACCCAATGTCCTTTTAAATGTGTTCTAGGAGGGGTGATTATTGGTTTGTTTTTGTTACATATTTGTGTTTCTTATATTGTAATTTAATGTTGTGAACTGCCCCGAGATCTACGGACGAAGGGTGGTATACAAATTCAATTAATTAATTAACTTAAAATAAAATAATGTAAAATAACAATATTATAGGTGAAAAAACATAAAGGGGGTGCGCAATTGTTTTATTTACTACAACTGTGTGCCACCTTTATGTTTTTTCATGCACAGTGGCTCTCAAACTTAATCTGTTCTGAGAGTCCGTTCGATTCTTGAAAACGTTCGAAAACCAAGGAGCGGCTTCCGATTGGCTGCAGGAGCTTCCTGCACTCAGTTGGAAGCCCTGTCTGACGTTTGGCTTCAGAAAAACGTTCACAAACAGGAACACTTACTTCCAAGTTTGTGGCATCGGGAGACGATTTGTTCGACAACTAAACCATTCAGGAACCAAGGTACCACTGTGTTATTATTATTATTAATTGGATTTGTATACCTCCTTTCATCCGGCGATCTCAGGATGGCTCACAACATAAAATTTATATATATATATAAACAAAATACATCATAAAAAGAGTTTAGGATGAAATCTCAACTAGGAAGTGGTGGTGATATTGATTCTAAGCATTCCCCCCATTTAATAAAAATATAATTATAGTACCTCTTGTTAAGAGAAGTGTCCTCAGTGGCAAACACAGCTTTCTTGAGAAAACATCATCTCACAACATGCACAGTTAAAAACAGACCTCTCTCTATGCCATGATTCAGAACACAGCTCACGGGCGAGAGTTCCTCTGAAATAAATGACCGGGTTTACGGGTTCAGTCATTTTCAGTTTAGTTGGGGGCAAATGAAACTCATTCAAATATCAAAAGAGCCTACCCTGTTGTTACTGTTCCAACTGTCTTTGGAGGGCCTCAAGGTGGGGGCAGTAGCCAAAGCCCTGAAGTCAACGCGAGACCCTCAGGTGGGGTCTGAGGGACAAAGGCGCTATTTGCTCTTTGCTACCCCTTCAATCTTAACTAGGCTTCCAAGTTCCCTCTGTTGAAAGAACAGATTGTGCACATCTTTATTCTACCCCGTATCTGATTTGAAATTATTGTGTTGGTGTATATGAAATTGTTTTCAATGCTTTATTGCTAAATCGCTTCCACGTGTTTTAAAAGGTAAAGATAAAGGTACCCCTGCCCGTACGGGCCAGTCTTGACAGACTCTAGGGTTGTGCGCCCATCTCACTCTATAGGCCGGGAGCCAGCGCTGTCCGAAGACACTTCCGGGTCACGTGGCCAGCGTGACAAGCTGCATCTGGCGAGCCAGCGCAGCACACGGAACGCCGTTTACCTTCCCGCCAGTAAGCGGTCCCTATTTATCTACTTGCACCTGGGGGTGCTTTCGAACTGCTAGGTTGGCAGGCACTGGGACCGAGCAGTGGGAGCGCACCCCGCCGCGGGGATTCGAACCGCTGACCTTTCGATCGCCAAGCCCTAGGCGCTGAGGCTTTTACCCACAGCACCACCCGCGTCCCTCCACGTGTTTTACAAGGCAGCAATTCATAAATGGAACAAAATAAATCAATCTCCTAGACACATTGAGAATCTGGCTTGTAGGCTGGCCACATTCTGTCCCCTCCACCAGCCAGCCCTTTGCTGATGAAAGGGACCAAAACTTCGAAAGCCAACCTAGTCCTTCAAAATTCTGGAAGTGTTCAAGTTCCTAAACAGGTGTGCAGCAATATCTGTGCGGTTCTTTACATCCTGGCTTACATAAAGAGCATAAAACTGTATATGTGCTACTTCTCTAAAGTGGTTGTACCAGCTTTGTATATAAACCAATGTGGCTTTCTTCTCTTGCTGACCTTATGGAACACGTCAAACATAAAAGTCTGAAAACTCCTTTGATCTCGTTTTCTCAATGTCACCGCGGCATTAAAGAAAAAAAGAGAGACCAATGGAAACCCAATGGTACATTCAAATTATCTGAGATTCTTCCTGACCTTTTCTTTATGGGGAGACTAGATAGGGCTCGCTTCCTGCTCTTTAACGAAAATCAGCAGTTGTAGAGATCCAAAGTCTAATTTTAGCACACACCAAAGCTACAGCTATCATTTGGGTATGGCGGAGTCCCAACTCTAACTTGTTTGATTACATCACAGTCCTTTCACAGATCTGGAAATCATTATTTCAAAATCTGTGGATATTTTACGCCACAAATCAAAATCTTCATCTCACTTAGCCAATTTTCTTTTGAATAGGTTTGATGGAGAAGGTTGCATGACATCTTAACACGTTTTTTTGACGTTCACTAAGGTCCAGTTCCGAGGGCCTTCTGTCAGTTCCCTCACTGCGAGAAGTGGAGTTACAGGGAACCAGGCAGTGGGCCGTCTCGGTAGTGGCACCCGCCCTGTGGAACGCCCTCCCATCAGATGTCAAGGAAATAAACAACTATCTGACTTTTAGAAGACATTTGAAGGCAGCCCTGTTTAGGGAAGTTTTTAATGTTTGATGTTTGGTTTTCGAACGCCTTGTGAGTCAAATGTTTTGGCTCCTGAACACCGCAAACCCGGAAGTGAGTGTCCCAGTTTGCAATTTTTTTGGGGAAGCCTAATGTCTGACGGGGCTTCCAGTTGAGCGCAGGAAGCTCCTGCAGCCAATCAGAAGCTGCGCCTTGGTTTTTGAACATTTTTGGAAGTCAAACAGACTTCTGGAACAGATTCCATTTGAGAACCAAGGTAAGACTGTATTCTGTTGGGAGCCGCCCAGAGTGGCTGGGGAGGCCCGGTTAGATGGGCAGGGTATAAGTTGTAAATTATTATTATTATTTATTTATTTATTATTATTATTAAGTTGTTGGGGCTGCCTTGGATGTGTGTAAGCAGTAACACACTTGGCTGTATTCTGACCTAAGTCCACTGAATTCAATGCATCTATTCTGAGTGTGATTAAGTCAGACGCTAACCCAATGTCTATCTGCAGATCTCTGGGATTCAAGAGCAGTAGTGTGGCAACCAGAAAGGTAACCAATATAGGTAAGGTAAAGGGACCCCTGACCATTAGGTCCAGCCGTGACCAACTTTGGGGTTGCGGCACTCATCTCGCTTTATTGGCCGAGGGAGCCAGTGTACAGCTTCCGGGTCATGTGGCGCTTCTGGCGAACCAGAGCAGCACACGGAAACGCCTTTTACCTTCCCATCAGAGCGGTACCTATTTATTTACTTGCACTTTCACGTGCTTTCGAACTGCTAGGTTGGCAGGAGCAGGGACCGAGCAAAGGGAGCTCACCCTGTCGCGGGGATTCAAACTGCTGACCTTCTGATCGGCAAGTCCTAGGCTCTGTGGTTTAACCCACAGCGCCACCCGTGTCCCGTAACCAATACAGAGCCACACTGAATTTGTTTTGGAAAGATCTTGAGATTTCTCATCAATTCTCTTCTAAAATATCAGTCCACTGAAGGTGCCGTTCTATATCAAACACTTACTTGGGAGTAGGCCGGCCCCACTGAGACAGTCGTGAATGATTGCTGAGTAAATATGTATAGGAACAGTCTGCACGAGAGTGAATAGGAATATCTGAGGTTCGGACATACTACCAGTATCAAGGAAATCTTTAATATTATATTTTAATTCCGGGGTGGCTAACCCCTAGCTTGGGGGTTGAGTCTACAATTTTGAAACACAGTTCAGATGAGAAGGGGCAGGCTGTTTTCCTCCCCCCCCCTCTCTCTGTGTACGTGTGAGACTATGGGATGTCCACTGCCAACATGTGACCCTCCCACCCAAGGGTTGGTCAAGGTGCCCCATTCAAACAGATGTACTAAACTTAACACATTGAAAAGTACAAGTTAAGCAGAAGAGATTACATATTCGGGATTAAACAAAAGACCGAAAATGACTCATCAGTCATATAACTTACTGTCTCCTCCATTACTTCTTTAGCAGGAGAGTGGTAGAGGGCTGCAGTGGGGAACTGCTAAGAGACAGAAAAATACAGTATTCATGAGCTTACTTGGGTGTAATCAAGCCATTTTGAGCGAATGTCATGAGAATGCCAGAGTCAAAGAGAGGGCGATGGATTAATCTGTACACTGCCGCCTGGCTTTTCTGCTGTCTTAAAAACACAAAAAACCCAACTGGAATATTTGAGGAAGAGAAGAGGATCTATAGAAGAAGAAGAAGAAAAGTGCAATCTTTGCTGGAAGTCAGATACTGTTATCACTTTTGAAATATACAGCTCAATATTATATAAGCTGCCCTTTGAAAAGGATCTATCCTTAAGCTTCTTAAAGGGCATCTGAGAGATGCTGTAATTCCAGATGAGTAACCAGTGGTGGAGGTTAACAACCCCTCCTCCTTTCATTCAGATGCCAGGTCTGCTGTGAAATGAAACCGTCCCATGATCCGATGATGAATCATTCCTTTTGCAAGACCCGTGAACCCAGACACAGGCAAGCAGCTTCCACATTCAGAAACCACAGTCACAGCAGTCCACAGAAAGACGCAACAGACTGAAAGAACTGGAGCAAGAACCCCATAAGCCCGGCATGGTCCAAACTTGGCCCTCCAGCTGTTTTGGGACTACAGTTCCCATCATCCCAGACCACTGGTCCTGTTAGCTAGGGATGATGGGAGTTGTAGTCCCAAAACAGCTAGAGGGCCATGTTTGGCCATGCCTGCCATAAGCAATCAAAGAACTCATTCCAATCCCTAACTGGCAATATATTCCATGATGCACTGAGTCTTCATACTAGGCCAAGGGAATACTTAGATTACAATCCCATGCACCCTTACCTGAGAGGAAATCCCACTGAATTTAGTCCAAGTAGACATGCATGGGATAGCACCATTAAACTGTTCCTAGCTATTTCCTTGCTGCTCTTGCCATGGGGGGAAAGCAAGACAGCAAATGTGTAGCAGGTGATGAGAAGATCTGGAAGCAAGTCAAATCTCAACACTATTTGGAAACTAAGGGACCCTGACTATTAGGTCCAGTCGCGACCGACTCTGGGGTTGCGGCGCTCATCTCGCTTTATAGGCCGAGGGAGCCGGCGAACAGCTTCCGGGTCATGTGGCCAGCATGACTAAGCCGCTTCTGGCAAACCACAGCAGCACACAGAAACGCCGTTTACCTTCCCGCCGGAGCGGTACCTATTTATCTACTTGCACTTTGACATGCTTTCGAACTGCTAGGTTGCCAGGCGCTGGGACCGAGCAACGGGAGCTCACCCCATCGCGGGGATTTGAAACCGCCGACCTTCTGATTGGCAAGTCCTAGGCTCTGTAGTTTAACCCACAGCAGCCACCCTCGTCCCATTATTTGGAAACGAGAGATCCTCTAATCCTGGATATTGAAACTCTTGGCTTGAAAGTCCTGTTTTTCAAACTTTCAACGTTTGAGGGAATCCTTTCCACCCTGACTGGTCTGCTTTAAGCCCTCCACCTCCGTGCATTGTATACAATTCTGGGGCAAGTTTTAGGAAGCTTTATAGTGGTAGTTGTGGCGATCACACACAGGGCCCCGGACGTTTGACGGTCTATTGACCCTGTGCCGCCACTGCAATTGCTTTTTCCGCTGCCACCACCCCGTATCTCACGGGGACACACAGAGTCCAGTCAGTTGTTAACATAAACAAATAATCAAGTTTATTTTTAAATGCAGGAACAAGCTTATGGTTTCAGTTAATTCTTCTCTTGTCAGTTTCTTATTCTTAGTTCCTAACAACTCCAAACTGATTATTCCAACTATCTATCTGACTCCGCCTAACAATTCCTCTCACTCTCTCACAATACAACTCTACCAACCCACACCTAAACCTCCCTCTTCCTTCTTCAACTCCCAAACCTTAACTGACTTTCAAAACCTCCCACTCTAACTTTTATTC